TGGGCGGGGATCGCTCGGGTGCCAAAACTGAAACTGCGCCTTCAACGAGCCAGCCTAAGCGTGGCCTTTGCTCCCTGGGAGGTGGGGAGCAAACGCCTTGGGAGCTGGTGCTCGGGGCGGGCGGCCAGCCCTGTCCGTGTGGGAAAGCAGCAGGAGGAGAGCGCAGGCAGCGCTGCGACAGGCCTGGGAACTGCTGCGGGGGTGTCGAGGGCTTGTGGCTTCCCGCAGCGGGGCAGAAGCGGCCCTGATGGGGCACGAAGGAGTCTTCCCGGAGAGCTGGAGGAGGGATCTGGTGCGGGAGTGGAGGAAGCCTGCGCACCTGGGGCTGGGGAGCTCGAGAGCTGCGTTCCCCATCTCTGCAGCGGAGCTGCTGGGAGCCGTGCTGGACACGTCGGTGTCTCGGCTGCGCAGGGCCGACCCCGTGCAGAAGGGATCCGGGGCCTTGTCCCCTCTGGGAAAACTAAGAAAAGTTGCAGTGGGAACATTATCTGTTCGGTTCGTCTGGCCCTAAGGAGTCACGTAGTGAAGTTATTTGAAATTCTCTCCTTAGCTTCTTTGAAGACTTAGAGAAGCGGCACCAGGAAAACCTCCTAATTCCTGACATCAGTGACATAGTGGAAGAACACGCCTCGAACCACTTCAGCCCTTATATCAGCTACTGCTCCAATGAAGTCTACCAGCAGAGGACACTTCAGAAGCTGCTGTGAGTACTGCTGTGCGTCAGGCCTTGGGCTTGCAAAGGAGTTGCCTTCAAGGGGTCTGGGCTCCAGGGATGGTAGCTGGCTGCGGGCAGGACAGGCAGGACCACGACTTGCAGGCAGCTCTCTCAGCCGGTGGTTGCACCCTTTTCCCAAAGGAAGGCTGTCTCCTTTCTGAGCAGAGCTCCACTTCTAGACCTCAGCGTGTCTGTGTCGGGTGATGAGGACGTGAGTTGTGTCGTGCCGTGAGAAGGGTGAAGGACGGGGATAAGTGGGGGTCCTGACGAACTGGAGTCAGGTGGGTCGTGCCAAGGTCTTTAACACGTATGGGGTGTGTTAGGGACACGTATGGAGGCTGTTCATCTCCAGATTGTTCTGGTGGTACAGGTATGTTTGTGTCTGCTGGTGGTGCATCTGTGGCTTTACTCACCTTTTGGGGGACTCAACATCTCTCGATGCTTTTCCATCACCTCCTAACGGATCAGTCCATTTTCTGCGCCAGCTGGCTGCCGTTGAGCACCAGAGGCAGTGCCTTCGCTGCACTGAGGTTCTCGTGCATGGAAAGCTGCTGGAAAAACTTGATAAGTGAAGAACAGAGTTAATGGAGCTTTCTTGTCCTGTTCCAGAGCCACAAACCCCTTATTTAAAGAGACCTTGAAACAAATTGAAAGAAAACCAGAATGTGGAGGCCTGCCAGTGATATCATTTCTCATTCTCCCTATGCAGAGAGTAACACGGCTTCCTCTGCTCTTAGATGTAAGTAAGTCACACGGTGGCATTGCTTGGCACCTCTGAAGAGGTGACTGCATTATACCCTGAGCCTGGGACAGCCTTCTGCTTGGACTTCATCCCTCCGGGAGCCAAGGCTGGGATGCCCAAGCCTTTATTCAGGATTTAGATCCAGAGTGATCTGCTTCTTGTGGGTGTCAGATGTGCAGCTTAAAGTGATGTGAATAACGCTTCACGTCTTGGCACCATCCACCTGAGTGACATGAGGGTCTTCCGTGCCCTGTCTGGATTCCCAGGGTGGGGTGGCATGAGCGTCCTGTTTCCTTAATGGTCAAGTGGCCCAGGAAGAGAAAGCAGGTCTTGCACAAGCGTCATTGAAATCGGTGGCTTCTGGACCCAGCAGCTCTAAACAGCAAAGCTGCTGGACGTGGGACTTCTAGTAACTGCTCCCAGTCCGTAACGGGCTGCAGCAGAGAGGGCCAGGGGGATGCCCGGTGCGCGGGGTGACAGTGATGCTCAGGCACGTATCCGATGTGAAAGCCCCAGAGACTCCAGATTCACAGCTACCAGCACTGGTAAACTTTGCTTTGAGTGCTGTGCCACCGCAGGCTGACCGTTGGGAACGGCTCGAGCATGTGTCACATCCTGAAACCCCAGGGAAGCGGTTGATGTGCAGTTCTCTGTCTTGCAATATCACTAAAGCGTCTTATCTTGAAATTCTAGACTGTCTGTCAAAAAACAAAAGCATGCACTGCAGCATACGGAGCTGCCACCAGAGCTCTGAAAGCCATCAGCAAGGTGAGGCCCGGCTGCCAGCTCTCCACCTTTCCTCCTTCCAGCACACCGTTCCATCACTCTGGCCCCGAGCCTGCCGTTCTGGCCTCTCATTTTTCTTCCCGAATTCACTTGAGATTGCTCTGCTCCAAATAGCTGTTGGATGTACACATCTTCTCCCTGTTTCACTTGATCTTCTTTTTCCTTTTTCTTGTCATCTTTTCTTCTTTCCTCTTTGGCCCATCTTTTGTCCTTCCCTTCGGTCTTCTCCAGTAGCGCTCTCCCTTCTCAGAAACTGGTGATGGCAAACTGTGACACTTACTTGCCTTGGTTTTTGGAGAGTTAGGCAAAGAGCAAAGCGTAGGGGAGCGAAGGAGCAGCGGGAGCGGTGGCGCTCGTGAGCTGTGCGCTGTTCGTGCTCCCGTGTCTCATCTCCGTCTGGGTTCCCATCTGGTGGTCATGCACACAAGGCGGTGCACCACGGAGATTACAGCCACCAAACGGGTGGTGGTGGCTCTTCTTTTTATTCCCCTAAAGACCGGCTCTTGGCAAGATGCTCCTGCCGCTCGTGGTCTGTCCCACTTGTTCATCCAGTGGGGGAACAAAATACACGACCCCCGGCCTGGCCATGCCGGACCACCCTTCCCCGGGTTGGGGCAGGGGCGCATCTGCTCCGGAGGGACAACGTGAGGGACCGGGGTGCCACGCAGCACCCCTCCCGGCAGTGTGAAATGTGGCGCTGCTTCACCTGCCTGCGGAAGGCGGAAAGCTTCTGTCCTCCCCTCTAACTGGTCGATCGGTCGTCCTCCTGTCTTAACCTCCTCTCTTCAGATGATTAATTCTTCCTCTTCGGTGAAGCTCGGGTTTGGTGCGGTTTCACTTTGGTCCTTCTGCAGGCAGAGCAAACGTGCCGTCTCTCTCCTGGAGTGCTCTCGTGGCAGGAGAACCTGCAGCTGCCTTTGGGCAAACCTGGCTGGAAACCTGTGCTGGGACTCGGCTGTTTCCCCTGTTGAGGGAAGCGGAGCAGCCGCCCGAGCCTTTGCCAGCAGCACTCGTGCTGGGGCGGAGGACGGATGGTCTTGGCATCCTGCCGTTCTCCACTTCCCTTGTGGGTTTTTTTCTTTAGCTGGTTAAGAACTGCAATGAGGGAGCTCGTACTATGGAGAGGATGGAGCAGATGTACACCCTGCAGCAGCAGCTGGAATTTGGAAAGAAGAAGGTGAGGACTTGTGAAAGTGGGGGAGGGAAATCTTCTGGGCTGTGCTGGTAGTCGCCCATCCCAGGTGTGTCAGACCTGTCCTGGGAATCCTTCCAGGAATCCCTGACCAGCTGGAGTATCGCTGCTGCCACGAGCATCGCCACTTCATGCCCAGGGTGACCGTTTTTCCTGCTGTTCTGACTTAAATACAAGTTTCTGGGCACTTGCCCTGCCATCTTGGAGAGTTCAGCTGAGTAGTCCTGGATAATCCACTCTCCCTCTTGACCCTCCGCTTTCTCCTCTGCCTTCCTCTGTGCTTTCGTCTCCTGCACGTGGGTGGTGAACGCTGGCCTTGCCCCTGACGAGAGGAGGTTTTACCTGGGTGGATCAGTTGGCAGCACTGTCTGCCCTTGCCGTCTTGTTCCAGACAGACGGACGTGGGGCTTTGTCTGTCTGTAAGCGCTGTCAGATGTGGGCAGCTCTCTGCAGGGCTGTAGCAGTAAAGCCTCGACACCGTGCCCCACTGCTGCGGTTTGGGGGGGCTGCGTCTCCGGGCGTGCGGGGCCTGCGTCTCCGGGCGTGCTGGAGCGGGGTGTACGGCTGGTCCGCTTCCCGCCTGCCTCCTGGAAACTCCCGGAGAAGGTGTTTCAAAGCGTGTGATGTGCCCATCCCGACTGACCCTAGGGTCCGCTGCGAGTCCAGATGCAGCTTCTTGATGGGATTTTGCCTGTCGCTTGCGAGACAGGCAGTAAGTCAGACTTTCTGTTTCAGCCCTTACCACTGATTTCTGCTTCCCGGTGGCTGCTGAAGCGGGGGGAGCTGCACCTGCTGCTGTCGGAGGAGGCGGGCATCTTCCGTCGAGGCACCGGCAGGCTCTGCTACGTCTTCTTGTTCAACGACGTCCTGATCATAACCAAGAAGAAGAGGTAAGGCTGGGGGGGCCCTTCCTTTCCCTACTAGGGGGATTAAAATCTCAATTTCCCAAGCAGCACGTAGCCTAAGACATTCTCGAGATTTCCCTGTTTTGACCTTTATTGGAGTGTCCCTTGTGAGGCAGAAGGGCAGTGCCCAGCTCCACGGCCCTTGCCCTTGCATCAGCTCATGTCCTCGCTGGATGGTGATGCCCACTGACCTTCACCCACCGAGGCTCTGAGCTGGCGCCGGGAGGCAGCTCAGTCCCGCCGGCGGCATCCGCTCTGCGGCCACACGCGGCTGAGGTGCCCATCCCGTCTTTGCCGCAGTGAGGAGAGCTACGCCGTCATGAACTATGCCACGCTGGACCAGATCACGGTGGAGAAGATCGAGAGCGGGGACCCGCCTTCCCCTCCTCCCAGCAAGACCGGGAGCAGCGGCACGGCTCGCGGCGCGGCCGGCGGGCACCTGCTCCGGGTGGTGATGGAGAAGGACAGCGAGGGCAGGCGGGAGGAGATCGTGCTGTCGGCAGAGACGCTGTGAGTAGCCCGGTGGGGTTTCACTGGGTGCACGTTCTTGCTGGTGGGATAAACTGGTGCCCTGCGGCTTCTGTGAAGCACCCCCACGCCCCCTCCCAGAAAGGGGGATCTGTGCAGGCTTGTCCCTTTGCACTGTTCCTCTCTCTCTTAGATTTCCCTTTTAATTCCTATATAATCCTTCCCCTGTGCAAATGAAGCAAAGCAGCTGGGCGATGTGTACCCCTGTGAAGCATCTTCACGTTGAATGCTCTCAGTGTGATGTTTGTTCAGTCTGACTTCCCTGGAAAGCCTTCATCTCTCCTGCTGGGAATTTCCCAGCTACTGCAGGCAACAGGGATGCTGTCACTAAGGTTTTCTTTGTAACATGGGCTTTCCCTCTGCCAGGAGCGACCGGGCCCGGTGGGTCACTGCGCTGATGCACAGAGAAAAGGAAAAGCCTGACACCACTCCTAAAGGAGGTACCGGCATGCGGGAGGTCAGGCCTGGCTGTGCGGGGTTACGGGTTGTGCTAGAGCCCGAGCGCTGGCAGCGACGGGTTGTTACCCTGTTCTTGTCTGCCCTTGCTGGAGAAGGGGCTGAGGATGTGTGTCGATGGAGAGGAGAACTTGGGGTACCACGTCCCGCTCGTTAGGAGTTGCCTCCCATTAAGTTATCAGTCACATTAAACCTTAAATACCTTGCTTAGGAGGCACAGTGGAATTCCAGGCATGCCTCAGGCTGTGCGTAAGAAGAGACTTGGCTGGGGGGGGGCAGCAGGAGGGGAATGGAGCATGACCTGCTGAGGAGCCCCGGA